CCCTCATGCCGGGGCCCCCACATCTGGTGTTTTTTAAATTGTGTGAACTACCCCCCACCACCCCCCCCACCCGGCCGGGGGGGGGGGGGGAATTCCGGGGAGTTGAAGTCCACACATCTTCAAGTCTCCAAGGTTGAGGAACCCTGCCATAGAGGATCTTCTCACTGTGGAACATGCCATTATTATGAAAATGACAATCTCACAGCACTGTACGGTTGAAAGGGCCTTTGGAGATTTTCTAGTCCAACCCCTGCCCAGACAATGAAAACCTTGCTTGAAAACCTCCAGTGATAGCCCCTATAATTCCAGGACACAGAGTGTTCCACTACTTAATAGCTCTCACAGTCAGGAAATTCCTCCTTTTTCTGAATTTGGATCTTTCTCTGTAAACCTTCTACCACTTAGCTAAAATGTATTACAAGTAGACCTCACTTAACAACTACCCTGTTTAGTGACTGCTCAAAGTTACAATGGTGCTGACAAAGTAACTTTATGACTGGTCCTTGCATTTACGACTGTCGCAAGGACCCGTGGTCCTGTGACTGCCATTTGCACACATCACAACCGGGTTCCAACAAGCAGATTTAATGGGGAAGCCAGCGATAAAATTGCAGGTTGCGGTCACATGATGTCTTGCTTAACGACTGCAGTGACTCACTTAACAATGGAAGCGGAAGTGACATCGTAAGTCCGTTGCAGTCACGTGACATTTTGCTTAACAACCGCGTCACTTAGCGATGGAGTTGCTGGTCCCAATTGTGTTGGTTAAGCAAGGACTACCTGTAATCATTTTGATTTTCAAATGAAAATTTCCAATCATCATCGATTTTATTCTGCCACAGATTTCGAAAGCAATTCCATTTCATTCCCTGGAGTCATGTGTTGCCAGCTAAGAACTTTGCCTTCTCTTTAGGTCCCAGCTGCCAACAGACCTTATACAGCGGCTGTTCCAGCTTCGCCTATTCTGAACTGCCAGTCAATTGAATGTAAAATTCGGAAAAATGTTCAACACTGTTGGAAAGAAATCCTGAAAGAATGCAGAGAGAAAGATGTGGACCGCTCGGGAGAAATCTTAGTAGAAGATATTTTAGGTTGGTTGGCTTTTTAAAAATCTCATTCAGTGTTTGGAAGTTGGAAGTGGTCCCAATTGGACCTTCTTGCAAAATGGCTGCCAACAGGGGTATCAACAGGGTGTAGTGAAAACAGTCACGGTGTAGCCATGGCGGTGGGATTGAAGCTGTACCTGGTTTTTATGTGCAATGCGGGCGGCACTTCGATTGCACCCTCATGACCACCTTCTTGACCTTTTTGACCACATCTGGTGGACACCCCAGGCTGCCATATTTACTAGGCTGCCCCCCACTCACCCCGGTGCTCACCCCAGTCTGTTTCTCTTGAGCAAGGTCACTGGGCACCAGCCACACCCCACTGTTAGTTTCCAAGAATGACCGCCTCCGTAAGCAGTCATGGAAATGAAGTTCCGTAAGCAGTCATGGAGTTCTTTCATTCTCTTTTAATTAAAAGTGCTTTAATTAAAATTAGATGTGGCATGGAGATTAACGGGCCCCTCGTAGCTCTGCAGCCCCCAGAGTACCTTGGCTGAGTAGTTATTCCGCTTGGGAGCAAGCTTGGAACTAGATCCATCACTCTGTTTGCTACTCTCGTCTTCCTGCCATGCTGCTCGCTGAGCCCTAGGGTCAGAAACAAAAGAAAAATATTTTTTTAGCCACTGTAATTCCGTTTGTATCAGGTGAGGCCTGATTTTTAAACCTGTCCCCAACGACCCTGTGGTTGGTCATCCAGATTCTTTTTAGCCTAGTTCAACTCTTCTCAACGCGGTTGCCTTTTGATGTGAAACCAGACCAGTAGCATCTTTAGGAATAGGAGAGCCACGTGGCTACCAGCATCACACCCAGCTTGACCTCCATCTATCTATCTGTCTCTGGAAAGTAGGTTCAGTAATACAGGGTGTGAAAACCAGAGCAGTTCCTCTTGACCCTATCAAACAAAAATGATGGGATCGTTTTTTTCAAGGTGGCTTCCATATTCTTTTTCATGCACACAATTCACAGATACATATAAGCTTCAGTGCCCTGACCTACCCTTGTGTACCTCTTCATATTTCCTGACACATTTCCAGAAGTGTCAAAAAAGTCAAGATGGCAACCGGGATGCTGCGATTGAAGCTCCACTTTTAATGGGTGTCGCATACAAACACACATAGACACACGAAATAGGCAGAGTTTTGATTGCAAAGTTGTGGCACCATCTTGACTTTTTTGACCTCACCCTCCAGAGATACCCAGTTCAGGTAGTCACCTGGCAATTATCTAATGCAGGTAGTTCAAATGAAGGATGCATTTTGGTGAATATGGCTGATTAATGCTCTAATCCTCAAGAGTGGTATTTCTCAACCTTGGCAACTTTAAGATGTGTGGACTTCAACTCCCAGAATTCCCCAG